TAAACGCATGATTAATAATAATGATTATAATAGTAAAATTAATGCTAATAGTAATAACAATAACGATAATAGTGATGACCGTGACGATAATAGTAATAATGATAGTAATTATAATGATAACAATAACAATAATAATAATAATAATAATAATATAATAATAGTAATAGTAATAATAATAATAATAACATTGTAATATAATAATAATAATAATAATAATAATAATATAATAATAAATAATAATAATACAACAATAACAATAACAAAGGAATGAGAATAAGAATTAAGAATAAGAATAACAAAAAAAACAGGAACAACAACAATAACAATGATGATAACAGTGATGACAACTAAACCACAAAACAGTTAATCAAGGAACAAATACCATTACTGTACATTGGAGTGTCTTACGTTTTATGAAGTACGAACAAGTTTCCTTTTTGAGATATTACACGATCCACAGACGGATGGGCGTCGGTAGGGAGGGGCACATCCTTATCCCCCCTCCCCCCCCCTTGCTCTCCTGTCTCAGAATCCTTGACCTGTTTGTCCCTCCCACGCCTGTCGGTCTGTTTCGTCTCCACGCAAGCACATAAGAAAGCAAGTGTGTGTGTATGCTGGTACTGATATATATGCTTTTTCGGGTTAATAAAGTCTCTGTATGTGTGTGTCTGTTTTGTCTCTGTCTGTCTCTCTGTCTGTCTCTGTCTCTCTCTCTCTCTCTCTCTCTCTCTCTCTCTCTCTCTCTCTCTCTCTCTCTCATTTACTTACACACACAGTGAATGGTAACACCTGTCATTCCTAGTACACAGGGGGTAATTTAGAAGCAAAATGAACAAGAATAACTATTGTAATAAATGGAAAATGACATAATTGTTGTTATCAATCCGCATGCGAACACATATATCTATCCAACTTCTAACTTGTTCCTTCAATTTGTTCTGATATTCGGTTATATATTTCAAATTAATGAAAGATGAATGACTTGCACATTTTTCGATCTGATGTAGCGCCATCAACAGAACATATTTAACCTAAGCTGACACACTTACCCAGAGAAGGCCCTCAAAAGGAGCGACACGGAGGAAATTACACGAAACAAAACTTGAGAGGAGAGAATGAACGAGAGAAAGACATGCGGGAAAGTGGGCCAAACGTGATTGTGTTCGTGAACGTATTCAAAATCACCCAACCTACTCTTCTTGTTTTCCCAAGTTAGCTCGATCCTCCCTTATCTGAGGCTCCTGATACGGCAGAATTCCTTGAACTGTCTTAACGCTCTGTAAATACTGTATGGAATGTGTTATAAACGATCATTTGGATTACAGGACGCAACATTTCGTAATATTGCATGAACTCTACGGGGGTTTCGCATGAGAAAACGGAGCGCTTGGAGTATCAGAGAAAACGGATACTTGCGAAGTGTAGGGGTAACTATGCTAAACATTTGGAACCGTTTTTTTTTGATAGATACCATTATCATTATTCATCTACTCATCATACCTTCTCATATCAACTATAGCATACTGTTGTTTTAGCATGTCTACATAAGGTACCGTCATCAACTATTCGCACAAAGAATATAGCACAAATCTAGGAATTTCTCATTCACTAAACAGTATAATCTAAATGAAATACCGTAGTATTACACACCTGGCTTTCACTCTTCTCCGAAAGTAAACAAACTCGACATCACAGTAAACAAGGAATACAAGAAACAGAGCTTAACAAGGAAGCATAACTACACTATCCACTCCATCTGTCTCTCGTTGACTCACAATGCCGTTACATTCTTAGAGAAATAAAAGACCCAAAAAAGACGTAATAACCAAGACAAAGAAGAACGACAGAAGCAATCATTATAAACTTAATCTTAAACATGGGAACCACATAAACTAGAGAATTTTCCACTCGGAATAACTTCTCTTAAGTCTTCTTATATCATGAGAAACCCTGTCTGTCACGAACTAACAAAATGATTCATGAGTAAATCGCCTCTTGTTGAGTACGAGGAGAATCCCACTAAAAGAGGAGGTTGAGTAATGTTATATCAGTTATTATTGTGAGTGAAAGCTGAACGTGAGGTATTATATGCATTTCGTGAGTTATTTTGCATCCATTTCATCTTGCTCGGATTGAGAGAGAAATATATCTTTTTTAAAGGAAAATGTGTGCATGGAGAGAGATGGCGAGGAGCGAGAGAGAGAGAGAGAGAGAGAGAGAGAGAGAGAGAGAGAGAGAGAGAGAGAGAGAGAGAGAGAGAGAGAGAGAGAGAGAGAGAGAGAGAGAGAGAGAGAATGATAGAAAATAGATAGAATGATATAACGGGCAGATAGATGGGGGGGGGGAAGAGAGAGATAGATAGAGATAAATAGATAGATAGATAGCGAGAGAGGAGAAGAAGAGAAAGTAAAATTCAAGTGAAGAGAAAGTCCGGGACAAACGTAGAGAAGAAACAACGATAAAAGGAGAGAGAAACATAAAGGAAAAGAGAGAATAAAAGAGAAACAAAAAGGGACAGAAAACGAAAATAAAATAAAAGAGAGGAATAAAGTAAAAAGGTTAAAAGTGAGAAGATGAGAATCCGATAAATTAAAGATATTAAAAGAGAGAGAGAGAAATGAAGAGACGAATATGCAAAGAAGAACGATAAAACGAGAAAGAAAAAGAGGCAACAAAAAGAGAAAGAAAAGAGAGCAACAATAAAAGAGAAAGAGAGAGAGAGAGAGAGAACGAAAGAGAATGTCGACAAGCTCTCTTCACGGGTTCGAACAATTAGCAACAGAAAGTGACTCCGCCCGCCACATGACACTTGAATTTTCCCGCCACTTTCGTCTCGTCGGTGCGGTCTCATGGCGGTCATTTTGCGCCGAATTGTTACGTGCGATTCGGGATTGTGCAGGATTGGAACAAGGCGCATGCGTCATCGGGAACAGATTGTGTTTAATACTACATGCATAGTTGTAAATATCTGTGTATGTGTGTGTTTGGATATGTTCACGTGTATTCAGGTATTTAGTCTTAGGAAAAGTAGAGAAGTAGAGATATTTATGTACACTGACAAGCACACATGCGCTCGCACACACACACACACACACACACACACACACACACACACACACACATGCACGCACGCAACACGCACGCACGCAAGCACACACACACACACACACACACACACACACACACACACAACCACACACGCACACGGACACACACACACACCACACACGCACACGGACACACATCACACAACACACAACCACACACGCACACACACGCATCCACAACCACACAACACACACACACACACACACACACACATATCCACAACCACACACGCACACGGACACACACACACACACACAGGCACACGGACACACACACACACACACACACACACACACATACACACACATATCCCAAACACAACACGCACCGGACACCCCCCCCCCAATTCCACTAATTTGCGGAGAAACCATGAGACAAATGCTATTGGTCCTAATGTCGAATTAGCGGCCCTTTTACAACCACAACCCCAGTGCTCGCTGCCGTGACGTCACCAATGGTTTTATAAGTCATTAACCGGCGATGAAAAAAAGTTAACCGGCCCCTCGCTCTTGACCGGAAGTTCGAAATACCTTGTTGTGGCTTTGTCCCATACGTGTCGTGTGTGTGTGTGTGTGTTTGTTTGTTTGTTGTTTGTTGTGTGTGTGTGTGTGTGTGTGTGTGTGTGTGTGTGTGTGTGTGTGTGTGTGTGTGTGTGTGTGTGTGTGTGTGTGTGTGTGGAAATAAACTGTCAGCATGTAGGTAAATACATAAATATAGATAGGTATAGCCCAAGTATACTGATGCATAGATAGATAGACGGATATACTAACAGACATTTAGACAGATACAATATGATTGTCCACATACACGTATACGCATCTATACATAACACATACACAAATTACCTGTTTACATGCACAGTATACGTACATACGTGTAGACACATCACATACAAAATACACTCATAGAAAAAGACCCATCTTCCTTAACAAATATCCATCTTCCTTAACAAATATCCTCATCACCTATAATCCTTACCTCCTCATCCTTCGCATCCTCAATCTTCCTATTCTTCATAAAGATCCTGTCCTTCCCCTCCCTCTCCCTCCCCCTCCCCCCCCCCCCCTCGCCCTCTCGCCCACCTGCTAAAAATCAACCGTTATTTGGCTCATTACGGCGATGGCCAAATGAGACCGTTATCACCTGGTGCCCGCTGGTTGCTGGTAATTTATAACAAGGTGTAACATAGTTTGGTGGTTTGCGTGCGAATAACTTGTCAATGGGTGATTTCTTGAGTCATTCATCATGAGTCGATGAATTAAATTATTGAAGTCAGAACCTGGAGTGTCTCTTGGAGTGAGTTGGCGCTTTTAGTTCTCCTCTCCTGGTCTCTCTCCCCATCTCCTCCTCCTCTCTCCCTCTTCCCTCTCTCTCCTCTCCTTTGTTAGAACATCGTCTTCCTCATCTGGACCCCCCCCCCCGGCTAGTTTTGAACCCCCTCTCTCCCTTCTTTCGATACTTTTTATCTCCCTTCGAAATCAATTATTTTTTCCTTATTTTCCCCCCCCTTCTCTCCTCTTTTTCTTTCCTTTTGCCTTTTCGAACCACCTCCCCCCCTCCTTAGGACCTTTCCTTCCCCCTTCCACCCCCTCCACCTCCTCCTCCTCTCCTTCCACCCTCCTCTAGTTTCTTCCAACCCCTTCTTCTTCCCCCTTTTCCACCCCTCCTTTCCCCCCTCCCCCTCTCTCTCCACCCTTCACCCTCCCCCATCCTCTAGCCCTTTCGAACCCCCAACTCCTTCATAAAGTTGAGTCTAAGATTTAAGGAAGGGCTAAGGGAAGGTGAAGGTAAGGGCTAAGGGTGAGGGTAAGGGCTAAAGGTAAGGGCTAAGGGTAGGTAAGGGTAAGGGTGAAAGGTAAGGGTGAGGGTAAGGGCTAAGGGAGGGTAAGGGCTTAAGGGTGAAGGTAAGGTAAGGGTGAGGTGGGGTAAGGGGCTAAGGGTGAAGGTAAGGGCTGGTAAGGGCTAAGGGCTGGTGTAAGGGCAAGGGCTAAGGGTTTAAGGTTTAAGGGCTAAGGGTAAGGGTGAGGGTAGGCTAAGGTTTAAGGGTCAAGGACTGAGAACTAAAGCTAAGGGTAAAGGCTTAAAAAAAAATAACAGAAAACGCGTATTACCAGAGAAGGAAGGAATGGGGGGGGGGACTTCTACAAATCTGATGATATCATGCGCTTGCTATCTTTCGCATTCGTACCCTCCTGCCCGCCCACCCACGCCCACCCACGCCCACGTACGTACAACTTCCCCCCCCCCGCCCGCCCACTCCTACATCCGTGTCTCTCACTCGCCCTACCCATCCCTAAGAATGATGGTATGTGCGGAAATATCCATCTCTGTGTGCGTTTTTGTTCTCTGTGAATATGCGTGTGAATTCGTTACACAGGAATGCGTACACGAAAGTCTCACGCGGACGTATACACAAAATATTTATTTTATGTTTGTGTATCCGTGTGTATGTGCTTATGTACGTATATTCACGTAAAAAATCATAGATTAATATGAAATATGATGATATACCATATATTTTTTTTAATCATTCTAATTTCTTTTCTTTTTTTGCATTTCTTTTAAAGTTCATATCATCCTTGAAAAAAACAAAAACATCAAAAGATTGTACTGATCATTGTATCAATTTTTGTTTGGGTCAAAATCTTCAACATCAATTCGCAGATCATTGGGTCATTGCACGTGTTGCTAATTTGTGTATTGCATCATTCGCGAATATTTTGCAACATGGTAAAAACTGCTGTTGAACACAAAACCAGACTTGCAATCAATAAATTCGCTTGTAATTTAGTTGTCATTGCATCTCAGTTCAAATGATGTTCTAGTTAATAACAAATTAGAAAAAAACAGGCAATTGGATATATTAATTAGATAAATTAAATTTTCTGGAGATATGATCAATATTTTATAATTCATAGTAAGATATCCTGATAAAACGTTCGACCTTGAATGTTGTAAGAAACGTTTAAGTAGAATTAGGTGCTCGGACAAACAAACAAACACAAACACAAACACACCATGTCAAAAAGAAGCCATTGATTTCCGCATCCTAACCCCCCCCCCAAAAAAAAAAAATAAATAAAATAATAAATAATAAAAAAAATAGCACAACTAGACCCCTACCCCAACCCTTCTAAAATAAATAAATAAATAATAAAAATGAAAAAAAAAATAAATAAAAATAAAATAAAGAAATAAAAAAAGAAAAATGAATAAAAATGAAAACGAAAAAAATAAATGAACAAGAAACGAAAAGACGAAAAATAAACAAATGAATAAGAAACAAAGAATAAAGATAAGACATAAAGAAGAAAGAGACAAAAAGACCAAAACGAGAGGAACCCAAACACCGCCTGCCGAAGACCACGGCCACCGAGTGCAGCATACGAGCATAACAGCCGCCGTCCGGAGAGCATACTCGGAGCACGCACAGCATATGACAAGGCGAGCGAGGGCCACGCCACACACAGCCGCCCCCCCCACCCCACCCCCACCCCGACTCTGCGCCATCTGCTGTGGCTTCGCTGGACGACCTAACGGAGCTTAGGACTCGTGTGGGAGGGAGGGGAAGAGGGAGGGGGAGGGAGGAGGGGGAAGGGTGGAGGGAGGGGAAGAGGAAGGGGGGAGGGAGGGAAAGAGGGAAGGGAGAGGTGGGGGAGAGGAGGAAGGTGAGGGGGAGGGGGAGGGAGGAGGGAAGGAGGAAAGGTGGGGGAGGGGGGGAGGGGAAGGCCAGGACAACGCACTTTGGTGGACTTTGGTTCGCGAACTGCGTGTTTTTGGGGTGGGGGGGAGGAAGGTAGGGGAGGTGAGGGTGTGCGGGCGGTGTTGTTGTTGGAGGGAAAGACGATTTATCATGATTAGTGTAAGAGTACCTATTTATCTGTTTATCTATCTATCCATCTCTCTCTTTTATATATATATATATATATATATATATATATATATATATATATATATACATAATACACACATACATACACATACATACATACACACACACACACACACACACACACACACACACACACAATACACATATATATATATATATATATATATATATATATATATATATATATATATGTGTGTGTGTGTGTGTGTGTGTGTGTGTGTGTGTGTGTGTGTGTGTGTGTGTGTGTGTGTGTGTGTGTGTGTGTGTGTGTGTGTGTGTGTGTGTGTCCGTCCATACTTGCATATTTGTGTGCATTTATCTGAGGCACGGGTGTTTATACATGTTTACGAAATTCACGAATAAAAAATAAACATATAAAAACAAAACCAAATAACAACAATATCACCGAAACTAAATAAACTTTCAAAAACAAAAAACAAAAAATCACCCATTAACTTCCTCATTGAGACTGAAGTGAACCATGACATGACGGATGACACGACGAAAAACAAACCCTCTATTTACGTTGCCTGCCAGAGGTGACAGTGGACCCGCGATGACGCAATCGTTGACATCTCAAACATGTTAAGAACACGTTTGGAGAAAGAATGTGTCTGTGTTTGTCTCGGTTGAATGGTCAACCAGAGCCAAAGAAATTTTTTTTTTTCTTATTCATTCTTATTCATCTCTACGTTTTTGTTTTGTTTTGTTTTTTTGTTGTTGTTTTTTTTTAGATTAGAATTAGGTTAGATGGCAATTGAAGGCTTGTCCGTTTATATAATGAAATTTTATATATATTTTCGACATCGTTGATTTTACTTATTGCCTGTACGTTCTTATCATCATGTTTATCATTTTCGTAACTGTTATCGTCATAATCTTTCCTACTACTACTGCTATCCACATTATCTTCATTTAACGATAAAAGCTAGGATGATGATAATAATAATAATTTTTTTTCATATTTAGCTTGTCATCTTTATCATTAAAAGTGCATTTTTCCCTGAAAATCTATTGCAGTGTTTGCTGGACTCAACCTGAGTACCTATCCCCTTTATGGATATACCACGACTGACCTTTCACCCTTAAACCAGTAATTACCCTTTCCTCTAAACCACCTAAAAACATCCCCTCCCTCACCTCCTCCCCCCAAAAAAAAGAAAAAAAAATAGAAAAATGGGCTCATCTTTCAAAGCAGCTTGTCCTTTAAAAGTTATACTATTCTCGTCTTATCCCCCTCCTCATAACCGCCCCCCCCAAACCCTTTACCCCCCTATAAACGGAAACCGCCCCCCCCCCTTAACTCTAACCTCTAAAAAAAAAAATCCTATTTTTTCTTCGACGTCACAATTCAAAATCCGACGTAAACCCCGCGTTATATGACGTATCAACACTAAACTACGAAACCCCCTGTGTGACGACTGAATTTACGGTCTTTTCCCATGTTCGTAACGCAGATGTTCGTCCACTTTCGTTGTAGGAAATTCATACCGGTTTGAAAAAGGCGATGCCCTCGGAATGGCAACACTCGGCGTAAACAAATAACGGTTTTTTAAGTTGATGATTAAAACGTAAGAAATTAAGACGCCTGATTATGCTTGATTAACCATGAAAAAAACGATAAGAAGACGAACTGATTAAAACGTAAGTAATTAAGACGCCTGATTATGCTTGTTTTGGGAATTTGTGCAAGTTTATATGTAGATAAAAATGGAAAAAAAAGAAGTACTAAGAAGATTTTTTCGTTAAAATCCTACAAGAAAATATAAAGGAAAAACGTAAAAAAAACATAGCTAAAATAAGTAGAAATTCGTGAGAAAAAGAAAATCGAAAATAAGTAAACAAATATAAAATCTAAAAGAGTGTCCAGCAAAGAGAAAGAAGAAAAAATATATATAATAAAAAATAAAAATGGAAAAAAAATGCACAAAAAAAGACAGACCATTTCTTTATCTCATCCACGAAAGAGCATCTCAAGAGGAGGAAGTCAAAGAAGGAGAGGAAAGGGGATGGGGGAGGAAGGGGGAAGGGGAAGAAGGGAGAGAGAGGGGATGGAAGTAGTAGAGGATAAGAAGAAAGGGAATAGAGGATGGTAGGAGAAACGAGAAAGGGGGGAAGGGGGAGGTAGAGAGAAACGGGAAAAGGGAGAGAGAGAGAAAAAAAAAGAAAGTGAGAGGAGAGAAAAAAAATAACGAAAAGGGGGAAGGGAGAGGAGGGAAAAGCAGAAGGAAGTCAAAGCAAAGATGGAGGAGGGGGAAGGAATGAGGGAGGGGGAAGGAATGGGGGAGGTAGTTAAGGAGGGGAAGAAGGGGGAGGGGGAAGGAATGGGGGGGGGGAGGTAGTTAACCGGCCGAAGTCTCCGATTTCTTCCGGATGGCGACAGAACCGGAACCGAGACCGTTCCCATAGCGCTTGCGGAGGGTGACAGCTGATCTGCCTCCTTCAAAGCGGAGCAGCAGGAAGGAGGGAGGAGAGGAGGAGGAGGAGGGGGGAGGGAAGAGGGAGGAGGGAGGAGGAAGGAGGAGGAGGAGGAGAGGAGGAAGCAGGAAGGAGGGAGAGGGGGGAAGGGAGGAGGAGGGGGGAGGAGGAGGAGGAAGGAGGGAGGAGGGAGGGAGGAGGAAGCAGGAAGGAGGAGGGGGAGAGGGTGGAGGTAGGAGGGAGGGGGGAGGAGGGAGGAGGAGGAGAGGAGGAGAGGAAGGAGGGAGGGTGGGAGGAGGAGGTAGGAAGGAGGGAAGAGAGTAAGAAGGAAGGAGAAAGGAGGGAGGAGGGACAGGTAAAGAGGAAGGAGAGAGGAGGGACAGGTAAGAAGAAAGAAGAAGAAAGGAGGGACAAATAAGGAAGGAGAGAGGAGGGAGAGGTAAGAAGGAAGATGGTGTAGGTAGGAGGGAGGGAGGAAGGAGGCCGGAGCAGGAACCAAGAAGGAAGGAGGAGGAGGAAGCAAAAAGGAGGGAAGAGCAGGAAGCAGGAGGGACCAAGAAGGAGGGAGGAAGACTAGGAAGCAACGAGGGAGGAATAGGAAACATGGAGGAGGAAGGAAGAAGAATAAGCGAGGAGTAGGAAGCAAATGGAAGGATAAGTAAGAAGTAAGGAGGGAGGAGGACTAGGAAGCAAGGAGGAAGGAAGAAGAAGCGAAAAGTGGAAATCAAGAAGAAAAGAAAAAAATAAGAACCAAATCGGAGAAAAAAATGAACTACGAAAAGACAGAAAGAGAATTTAGGAAGAAGAGAAAACCACAAAGAAGTGAAAGAATCTCCAGAAAGGCGTACCAGAAAGAGAGGGAGAAAGGTGGGCGGGATGGGCGTGGGTGTGGCGGAAGTAAGTCCCTGGCAGACTGAGATTTGCGGTTTGTTATTCAGGGTTGGTGTAGGTCTGTTCTTCCGCTTAAACAGGTGCATTTAGGGACAGACTGCGGATGTTCTTCTCGGGATGTTCTTCAAGGTCGGTTCAAGGTTTCATATTTTTTGTAAAGTGAAGCATATATATATATATATATATATATATATATATATATATATATATATATATATATATATAGATATAGATATAGATAGATAGATAGATAGATAGATAGATAGATAGATAGATAGATAGATATTATATATATACATATATACATAGATAGATAGATAGATAGATAGATAGATAGATAGATAGATAGATAGATAGATAGATAGATAGATAGATAGATAGATAGATAGATAGATTTTTTTGCGTTGATTAGGGAATAATAATGTTAATGATGATATTGATGATGACAATGATAATGGTAATAATGACAACACTAATAAAATTAATAATGATAACGACAATAATGATAACAATAATAAAATGACAATAATGATAATGGCAATAAAGATATTGATAATAATAATAATGATAATAATAACGATAATAATACTAACAATGATAGTAATAGTAATAGTAATAATGATAATAAATTGTAAAAAAATAATAATACGGTTGTGAATTCTGGAAGTAACAAAAAATACATCAAATACCAAAAACAATACAAAAATGCCATACTTTGCTTATAGAATTAACAATACATAAAAATAAACCAAAACCAGGGAGGGAAACAACAACAAATAAAGCAAGCCACAGTAGCATATAAAACACGAAAAGAATAATATCATAAACAAAATAAAAAAAGGTATTTCCTCCAGTCTACAAGAACCGCCATGCCCATAACGGTCCTCCTGCAAACACCTGTCCCAAGCAAGCGGTGGGGGAAGGGAGGACAGAGGAGGGGGAGGAGGAGAGGAGAGGAGAGGAGAGAGGAGAGGAGGGGGAGGGAGGGAGAAGAGAGGAGGAGAGGTTAGGGGAGGGAAGTAGAGGAGATTAGAGGGGAGGACGGGAGAGGGAAGCAGATGGGAGAAGAGAGGAGGAGAGGAGAGGAGGAGGAGAGGAGAGGAGATTAGAGGAGAGGGGAGGAGAGGAGAGGAGAGGGAAGTAGATGGAGGAAGAGAAGAGGAGAGGGGAGGGGAGGGGAGATCAGAGTGGAGGGGAGGAGAGAGGAGGGTAAGGGAAGGGAGGGGATAGCAGAAGGCAGAAGTCCCTCTCATGCCACACTGCCCTGGTCACGCACCTGGCGGTGGGTACCTCCCCTCCCTCCACCCCCACACATCTTATACCCATTCCTTAGCCGCTGAAGCATGTCTAAGTACCCACTCAGGCCTAAATTTGCCGTTAATGATAAGAGCTAGAGGGTAGAGGGAGAGAGAGAGGGAGAAGACAGAGAGGGAAAGAAAAAGGGGAGAGAAAGAGAGAGAGTAGGAAAAGACGAGGAGGGGAGAGGGAGTATGAGAGATGGAGGGGTTAAGGTGGAGAGGGAGAGAAAGAAAAAGAGAGTAAAGTGGAGAGGGAGTTAGGGAGAGAGGGAGACAGTAAGGTGAAGAGGGAGAGGAAGAGCGAAATCAAATACAGAGACAAAGGGAGAGAAAGACAAGCAGATAAAACAAAGGAGACGCAGATACACAGACTGGCAGCTAGCTAAGAATACAGAGGAAAATGAGAGAAAGAGATACTTACCGAAATCAGCATGGACGTATGTATTTCGTCCTGAAAGAGCAAAAAAGAGAAAAAGATGTAAGAGGAATATTAAAGACAGATGATAAAACACATGAAAACGAGAGGGAGATAAAAAAAAAAAAAAAAAGTGTAGACTGAGAGAGAGAGAGAGAAGAGAGAGAGAGAGAGAGAGAGAGAGAGAGAGAGAGAGAGAGAGAGAGAGAGAGAGAGAGAGAGAGAGAGAGAGAGAGAGAGAGAGAGAGAGAGAGAGAGAATGACAAACTCCCGGAGACACATACGCCTTGAGGGTACATACATATGGTCGCGAGATTCGTCTCCCATTAATGATCATCTTGTGTAATCATTGCTTTCTTCCATTTATCATTTATTACCTTCTTTTTCACTTCCCCTTTCATTAATCACAGAAAAAAAACAGCAGGCACTATCATGGTCATGGATCATCATCAATGATGATGATGATAATAATAATAATAATAATAATAATAATAATAATAATAGCATACAACACAAACAATAAAAATATATCACGAAAATCCTTCACAACCACACCCAAACAAACAAAACAACAACACACAACACAACACACACACACACACACACACACACACACACACACACACACACACACACACACACACACACACACACACACACACACACAGCAAAAAAAAAAAAAGAAAAAAAAAAAAAAAAAAATGGATTACATGCCTACGAAAGCCTCCTCCGCCTTAACGGAACACGAACACAAAAGAGCCTCTGTTATCGGCCCACGGGTTGTAATTACCGAACCAGGCAACAACTCCTTTTACCAGGCACTTCGCGGCCACGATGGAACCGTCGAACCAGCTACCGTGACGAGCGTTGGCGTGCCCGATGCCCATATGTTACCCTTCTTTTCTCTCTTTGGCGTTCCGTGCGAGGTAGATTTCCTGTCTCATCTTTTCTTCCGTGTTTCTGTTCTCCCTCCCTCTCTCCTGTCCGTTGTATCACTTCTTCCTCTTTTTTTTTTTTCTCTCTCCTTTTATTTTTATCTCTCCTCTCCCTTCCCATCTCCCTCCTTCTCTCTTTCTCTTTCTTCGGTAATCCAGTGTCATTTCTCTCCTTCCTCTACTCCTTTTTCTCGTCGGTACACCTGTGTGGTTCTCCCCCCCCGTCCCTCTCTTCGGTACCCCTGTGGTGTACTGCTAAAGGGTAACGGTGGGGGGGGGGGGGTACTACAGCCTGGGGGTAAGGGGTGCCTAGGCTTAAGAAAGGGTGTATGGGCATTTAAGAAAGGTTTATGGTTTAAATTGTTAGTTTTCTATGTGTGTAGACTCTGTGTTACTATGTGTCCACGATGTTTTTTTTTTCTGAAAGTCCTTATCAGTATCTGTATTTTGCCCGGAAGAAAAAAAAGGGACAAACAGGTCAATAGATAATGACACGTGATTGGTAACAGACCCTATCTAACCACCACGAGTTCGACACAAGCGCCACGAGGCCTATCAGGAAGCTGTCAGAGGACCCGGCACTTACCATAGGCCTACCTACTACAATTCAGAAAAGCGACCTGGAAGTAATTACAAAGTGAAGTCTTCTTGGTCGATCAAGGCGATTAAAGGTCCCGTTCATTTACTTAACAACGAGTTCTTATGTTGCCTTTCTCGGTGTTGAGAAAGAGGAAATGCCAAGGTGAGCACAAACACCTGTATACATGCATTGGCACACTAATAGACTGACACAAAGTGTATGCAGATAGAGAGATGTATGGTATTCCTCCACTATTTTCAGTGCTTATCAGAGCTTATCAGACAGCACTCTCTCTCACACTCTCTCTTCTCTCTCTCTCTCCTCTCTCTCTCTCTCTCTCTCTCTCTCTCTCTCTCTCTCTCTCTCTCTCTCTCTCTCTGTCCCCCACCGTGTGTGTGTGTGTGTGTTTATCTAATAAACAACCATCCAAACTGGTTACGGAATCGGCAAAGACTACGAATGATACACGAAAACAAACAACTTTTTAAAAAAGGGGGTTTCCCACGTCTGAAACAATTCAGCTGGAACATTGTGCGTGAAACAGTGTGTGACGGCAACATTTGGCCACAATATTGCCCGCTTCTTATGTACTCTCAACTTTCTTGGTAATTCACTTTCATTTTGCTGCCTTGCTCTTCACTTACACTCCGAAAGGGAAAAGATCTTTTATGATTCGTCGTCGTAAATATCTGTTGGTAGGCGTGGGAATTCTCGACAGGCTGCCACCAGGTTTGTTTACATTCGATCGTCACTTGTTTAATTTTTTTTTTCTCCGTTTTTCTTTTCCGATGATGAATATACATTTCATGCTTTCTCCGTTGTGTAATGATACGTTATGGGCTGTATTTTTTAAGATATTATAATGAAATTGAATTTATTTACACTCGTATGCTGCCATTACTTTTTATCATTACGAGAACTGCGGTTTACCTGTAGTTATAAAAATGGTGAAAGTTGACTTTAGGATTTTCGACTTTTCTGAACCTTATGGCGTGGCGTTGCTATCAGTTCTAGTACATTTTTGACCATCTGACATCTAGTACGCTTTTTCTAACAGCTCTGAGTACATACATCAACCATATACTCCAATGTCAGCCGTCAGCTTTATGTTTTTTTTTTTTTTTTTTTTTTTTTTTTTGGGGGTGGGTGCAAAAACCGATCTTGACATTCGTTTTCACTATTTTTTTTTCGCTCACGATCATCACTATGATCATTGTACCAAAACCCCCCTCGCCGTGGCTGTCACCGTCAGCACCTGTCAGCCAAGAGGGAGAGTGTGGAAGGCTGCCTCGTGGGCTGACGAAGGGCACTTCCGTGAGTCATCTGTTGGAAACTTCTCCCCCCCCCTCCCACTCCCCCCCTCCCTTCCGTTCCCTTACCTCCTTCCCCCCATCCCCCGCCCCCCCCCCCCTCTTCCCTGTTATTTCCTCCCTCTTTCTCTCATATCATACACACACACACACAAACGCATGCACACACACACACACACACACACACACACACACACACACACACACACACACACACACACACACACACACACACAACACGCACGCACTCAAACAGTAACATAACATCAAAATGATATTTTTGTTTTTTTCAGCCGTATAACGTGACATTAATTGCTTAGTTGTTTTGATGTCTTGCTTACTTGCTTGAGAAAACCGCTTGATGAACTCCCTTCCTCCACCCCCCCTCCCCTCTCTCCCTCGGTTCCCCCCCCCTCCTTCCACACCCCCTCCCCTCTCTACCTCCATCCCTACCCCTTCCCTGCACCCCCCTCCCCACTCTCCCTCCATCCCCCTCCCTCCTCTCCCTTCGTCCCCACTTCCCTCCACCCCCCCTCTTTCCCTCCACCCCTCCTCCTTCCCTCTACTCCCTTCCCCTCTCTCTCTCTCCCTTCCGCCCCCCTTCCCCTTCCCCCTTTTAGGAAAGTAAAATAACAGGATGATTTGCCCGAAAATGTGTGCAAAACATTAAATTTTCGAACTTGATTTTGATGAAAGTTAATGGATTCTAAATAAGAAACTGATGGAAAAGTATTAGTGTAGCTACTGGAGATAATGATTTAGAGATAAATATGGGGTGAAAGTAAAAGAAGAGAGAGTGAGAGAGGGTGGGGAGGGAGGAGTAAAGAGAGGAAAGAGGGAAGGAGAGAGAGAGAGAGAGAGAGAGAGAGTGAGATGAGAGAGTGAGTGAGTGAGTGAGTGAGAGTGAGTGAGTGAGAGTGAGTGAGTGAGTGAAGTGAGAGTGAGTGAGAGAGTGAGAGAGAGAAGAGAAAGAGGAGAGAGGAAGGGGGGGAGGAAGGAAAGAGAAAGAAAGGAAGAGAGAAGCAGAGTGACAGACAAAGAGAGAGTGAAAATGGATTGATATCTATATCTGTATCAGTCAGATAGACACAAAGACAAACAGATAGATAAACAGACAGACAATCTATCATACTGGCACTACCACACAGCCAGAATCATCACCAAAAGATATATTTGAAGAAGAAAAAAAAAGATTTCTCTCACCATGAAATGCAACAAGTCCCTCTCCCTCCCTCTCTCTTCCCTCCCCCCCCCCTCCCCCTCACACAACACCTGCTGCCACCGGCCACCCCGAACGTAACATAACGTAACATAACGGCCACACGACACAACAGATTCATCCCAGCGCCGTCCCCTTTCGCCGTGACGGTCGCTCCTTCGCCTCCACACTCGGCCAAAGTGACGTTTCCCGTAACAATTATGTCACGTGACGATCGCCAGATGCTCGGGTGATTGGTGGTATGACTGGCCAATCGCGGTGGTGGAGCGTGTGACCTTTCTCTGTGACGCGCGGTGGAGGTGTGACGGTGACGGTGGTGGATTCTGGGCTCTCTCTCTCTCTCCTGCACTTCCTCCGTCACTCGCGAAATTGGTCCAGGTTTGGCGCGGTTGATGGAATCAGCTGAGTTGTTGATTTTCGTTTATTTGTCATTTGTATTTCTTTTTTTTTTTTTTTTTTGGGGGGGGGTGTTGGGGGTATATGTTGAAGGGTTTTTTTGTTGTTTTCTTTTGAACTTTTTCTTACTTTACTCCTCTTATTTTCTTTCTTTTCTTCGCTTCAGTTTTCGTCTCGTCTCTCCTCTCCCTCCCCTCCTTCTTCCTCTCTTCCTCCTCCTCCCCTCCCTTCCCCTCCCCTTCCCCTTCCCTCCCCTCCCCCCTCCCCCTCCTCTCCTCTCCCCTCCCCTCCCCATTCCCACAAAATCACGACCTGCCAGACCTATAAAACTATTCATCTCGAAACTGCATCTCAATCTTAAGACACGACCTTCACGTCTGGAGCTTCGGGGGGGGGGGGGGGGGTAGACCGGTGGCCGAGTGGTGGAGAGGTGTTTCTCAATACTTTTTTTTTTTTCCTTTTTCTTTTTTTTTTTTTTTAGGTGTCAAGATCGTGTTGGGGGTCTTGTTCTCTATGTTGGGGATCGTGTTGTCTATGTTGGAGATCGTGTTCTCTATTTGGGGGTTTGTGTTGGGGGCCTTGTTTTCTATGTTGAA